TTGATTTTTAATTCTCTCAGGTGTTCTGGTTTTTGTTTGCGAACACGGGGGTCCTATGGGGCCGACAGTTCGGTTGTATCAAAATGACATGTCCCCTTCTGTATTAGGTATTGACTCAGTGATAAAGCATGATTCGAGTATAACGTATTGACACCATACAACTAGCAATGACAGACAGTCTTGTGTAAAGGTGATTTAAGGCGAGATTTTCTTTAAAGAAAAAAATGAAGACGACGGTTTGTTTCCCGTTTTTCACACTTTTTATGTGTGTTCTTCTCCCTATATCGCTAATCTCTTCTTTCACCTCTCCAAGAACGATTTTCTAGGTCTGCCAAAACACGTGTAGACCATATGTTGACTATTTTTTTTTAAGAAAAAAAATTGGATGTCTTAGAAAAATCTGAAAGATTTTTAATGAGGCGGGTGGGCAAAGGAAATGACAACCATGTGTGAGATGACGGTTTTTTTCTGGGATAACAATGCGATGAGATTTTATACAGGTGTGGAGGTCGAGTTCAACGTTAATTTATCTGGATTCAGGATTTTCTTCTTTTTTCCCCCTACATCATGCATTCACTAGGTGCTATTCTAGCAAAGTGTATCCAAGTTTCCTTAATGTAAAAAAAATCTAAGAAGCGATGTCCCCCGCTGAAGGTAAAAAGAAGAGCATGCGCGGATCGGGAGGGGGGGGGGGGTTAGAGGGGGACATTTTGAAAAAGGCGGGCGGTAGGGAGTTATTGTATAAAATTTAATTGCAAAAATTCAAAATCTTCCCGAGATATCGCCCGGAAATGAAAGTTTTTCATACATACAGATTCTATGAAATTATGACCTTGACCTTTGACCTTTTCACCTCTAAATCGATTGAATCTTCCTTAGGCCTAAGAGAATTGGCATATGGTATAAAATTATACTGCAAAAGCCCAAAAGCCTTCTAGAGATATCGGAAAACGAAACTGTTCCAGACAAACAGAAATACAGAGGAACAGCGGCGGACGGACGGCCAGACAGACAGACTAAAACTAATATCCTCACCTTCTGTTTCATTGAAAGCTGGGGACAAAAGTAGACTCTTCGGAGTTCCATTGCAGAGTATGGTTTTTATTCGACATCTCTGAGTATTTGCTGAATTCTGAACTGTTCTTTTTAGTGTTACTAATATGAAATGACAAGGTATGTGGTGAATGTAATGGTCTTGAAATACCAAATTTTTGAGAAAATCCAGAAAAGGAACGATAACTCTGTCTGAGTAGACATAGATTTTTAGTTTCTTTTTCTAAATTATATCAAAAGTTGATTTTATTGCCCTCATAACCGAAGATTCGGTAATAAATAGTATTATCCTGTCCATCTAGCTGTTTGTTTGTCCGCAAAACCTTCAATATTTTTGCCCGTAACTTTTGATTTGGTAGAGCTATATTGCTTACATTTTCCCATGTGTATTCCTTCTGATAATACCTTTTCTTCGCATATGTTTGTTACAAGGCCATTGTATCGACCACGAAACTTGCAAAATGATGACTTAAACAAGATTGCTGATATTCGTGTTTTATCAACTTCTTTGTTAAAGCTTGTCTCCTTTTAGAAATTGTTAGTGCGTGATCAAACTCCCCATGCAGAATAAAACGAAAAAACTGAAACAATATAAATTAAAATTACTTTATTAGTTCGAAAAAATGAAACTATGCATTGTTCTTTTTTTTTTTAAAGATCGAACCAGTGGAAAGGAAGTGTGGTTGAATTGAGGGGTGACCCTTCCAAACCTTAGACCAATCACACCCTGGTACTATATTGCCTTTCCATAATCCTTAATGTTGCATGACGTACCATTATGTTGCTTGTATGTACATAAATACATTATTATTTGTTGAATTAACAAGGTAGTGATGATGTATTTGCCATCTTAACCTTTGAATTTCATTGGCTCTCATGACAAGGGGGTTAATGTATACCGTGGGGTGTATCAAATTTCTTATTTAAAATATTAATATCCTCAAAGCTTGCAACATCTGTTTGGCAGGGTTAATATTAAATACCTAAGTAAATAAAGCGTGTAATGCTAAACCTAATATATGATGCAAAAACTCTCGAAAGACAAATTAGAAATTTTCTTTTAATTTTTATTGACAGGTGTGGGTTCCTCTTTTAGAATCAGATCGAAAGGGTTGACAAAATCCGGGATGCACATCTGCAAATCTTAAGTGTGAGAAAATACATCATTCTCGATATAAATGTGATGCTGCACTTTTTAAAGTACTTCCAAAGCTAACATCTGAGCCAACAGTTTTCTATTTTTCTTTCTACTTTAGAAACACCTTAGAGGGAGCATATAAATTCCGAACATCTGGTCCTCCCGTGGGATGAAACTATTTGAGACCATGACAAACTGAAAAATAAATTAGAAACAAACAACTACTATTGATAAAATGTTGAAATTTAATTGAACGTTTTGTAGTGTCAAACCCTTGATAACCTAGCCTCATTCTTTTTGTAATGAAATGGAATATTTATCAAGACGAAGATAAATACAATTTGGAATGCAAATATCTGAAAAGACCTGGGCATGATATCTAAATATATATCAACCACGAATAACTATTTTTCCTTCTGTGATCTATTGTGTTTCCTGTTTGCATCACCTCTCAATATACCCCCCCCCCCCGCCTTAAAAAATATAAATAAATAAAATGACAACTACATTGCTTGCATTTAACATATACCTGAAGCGGCAACTTCTGTCAGAAATTGCTGGTATTATCTTTGAATCATATTAACAATTGCTTTAAAATACCGGAATAACATTAGGCATAATGAAGATATTAATAAAGCTTGATTTTACATTGATAAGTTACAACCTTTCATCGATCCCCAACCCCGCCATTTTTTTTTTTTTGAATCGAAATGCTTCATCACTTGCAGGCCAAACTAAGTTCAGAAAAGGACGTACATGCATCCCACATATCAATTTCGAATCGTTATGTAATTAAGTTCAAATATAATAGGCATAATAAAAACATTTTATTAAATTTTCTGGTTTATCATGGTAAAAATATCTATATAACAGCTGGCCCAGAGATAACTCTATGTTTTAGAAATGATGGTCTTTCAGTCAGCTGAATCTGATACACCCATATCATAGAACGTAAAAAGTAGATGTCACGAAAAAAATCCAAACAACCACCGTCTGTTGCATACAAATGGCGTATATTTAGACGTTCAACTTCTGTAACGGACATTTTCTACTCTGGTGTAATATACAAGCCCCTGACTTCAAGCTTCTGGAGTTACGCGCCGTATAAAACACGTGACATGTTGTCTTGGTTACTAAAATTTATGCTTCCCGCTTCGACGGAGAAATGTAACTTTATCTATCACCACGTGTTTGTACGCTTCATTCTTTTGCTTTCTCTCTCTCCCCCCCCTCTCTCTCTCCAAAAACAAAATCAAAATCTTGTTTTGAAAAAAAAATGTAGGCATGATTGTATGTCAATCGCTTGATTATTTACTCTTATATATAGATGCTGTATCAAAGTCGATGAAAAAATAAAAATAACTGTTGCAAAAAGGAAAAGTGAACATTACTAAAGTTGAACTTATTTAAAGCATTTTATTTTTTTTTTTATTTATTATTATTATTTTTTTTTTTTGTATAAATCATATTTTGCAAAATTTTTATTGTTTTTAATGTTTAAAACCATTTAAATTATAGTTCAAAGTATATATGTCATTTCAACAGCATAAAGTATAAAATGGACATGGGAACTGAAAAAAAATCGATAAAGAGTTGTAGCTAGCTTCTATTGCCGAAATTAAAAACTTGTCGATAATAAACAGGTTGTAAAAACAGAAGAAATTGAGTTTGTTTATCTAATTTCTTTAAATTATCTTTCTAATTTGCAATAAATACACAGAAGTTGAGTTATTTGAGGTAATTTTCTCATTAAGCTTTGTAAATACCCTTAACGAAGTTTTAATTAAACCGTCGAGAAAATCACTTGTGTTGAGTCCAATTCTCGATGTGTCAGAATCAATTTCATTCCTCTCTATGACGTGTCAAGAACGTCGCCATTTATTTTTCTCTTTCTTCAAAATGTCTTATTCTCGTTCATTGCTTCTCAGTATATTTACTTTAAGTTCAAAATCAACTAGAGGAAAACATTAAAAACTTCTATATAAAATATGTTTCTTGAAATAAGGAATGTTTCTGAGTAGACACGTAAAGCTTGACAGTGTTAGGAGAACACTTGCCTAAAATTGTTAGACAACGATTGGGCATCGCCGGGGTAACTACACTTGAATATGAAAAGATCTGAGCAGGGGAAGGAAGAAAGAAAGCAATTGTCGCCATTCAACAAAAAGTTCAAATCCACAAGTAGCTTGGGTCGTTAAAGGAAATATTTTAAATGAATTCGTTATTTCAGCTCATAGAATTATCGCCTCACAGCGCCCCTTCCCTCCTTCGATTTCATTTCAATTAAACATGAATTTTAATTTTCAATTAGTTTTTAATTTTACTTTTTTTTTTTGTTCCTTCTTTATTTTTTCACGCTTTAAGACTTTAAATCGAGTTGGATGCTCATTATAATTGATTTTAACATGGTGTAACTGAATTGGATTTTTTTTTTACGCAAAGACATGATATTTTTTAAAACCAGAAGTTGATTCTAACAGGCCAAAAGTAAATTCTCTCACTTTTAACTTTTTTCCACTTCAAGTAAGATATGTCTCAAAATGAGATAAAAATGGTACATGTATGTAGATCTTACTTCTTTTGGTAAATCTTTTGATTATGCGATACAAAACTATATATGACGAAGTGCTATCATAATTTGAAGCGTTTGGTGTAAATTATCAATTAAATGATTTGATTGACACCAATTTCCATAATACACACACTTTTGACACCTTTCAAGCCAAGGGGTGTTAAATTAACACGCACGTGATTATACCGACCAATCAAATGTCTCGTTACAAGTTGCGGTATGTATTGACTCTCTAGACTTCGGAGGCGATGTAAAACATTCGTGAGATCTCGAACTACACAGAACTTGTACAGAGTGCAAAGTGCTAATCGTTATTCATACAAAATGGACATCGATTGACCAGGAAACTTGAAGCAAACGAAAGAGCAGAATGTCTTTATTTCATCCGTGCGGAACGATTAATCGTTAATTGTGTGTAAATGCATTTTGGGTGAAAATCCAAAACGTCTTCAGTCCATGGGTCTGCCAAAATGGCGGCCGCTGTTTATGTATTCGCTGCTTTTGTTATATGGAATTTGATGTGTTTTAGTGGAACAATTGGCGTGCAGCTACAATGTCCGACGTATTGTAATTGCTTAGGAAACCTTGTAGATTGTTCTCGACAAGGTCTAATAAATGTTCCCAAAGACCTCATTTTCCCAGTTTGGACAACGCGATTGTAAGTATTGACCTCCTTTTCTGACACACATAACCATTATGAGTAGAAATTGGATGGTAACTTCTTTCTGTTTAAAAAATTGAATTTCTTCAGGCAATATTAGATCTTCCTCCGTAAAGTTTAAGGCAATCTATTCTAGAAAAAGTTGTGTAAAGTTTCAGAACTACCTGACGATTTGGTTCTGGGTTATCTTCTCTTGGCCAATGTAAAGTGGTTTTGTTTACTTAGACCACGTCTTCTAATGCAGTGAAGACCAGCTGAGTTATTTACACAACCGTTTCAAAGTAACGTCCAAAAGAAAGAATTGCTTTGTGTTTGCAGAGTGAAATTTTAATTCAAAAGAATATTGGTTTTCTCAGGGACACATCTTTGCGAACAATTAAATTGGGGTATTGAAAGGGTTTTTACTCTGAAGAAAATATCAATTAAAAAGTTTTCAACAAATCCATTATAAAACATTTCTTTAGGAAACGTTTATAGACCAGCAATTTGCAATAATGCGGTGTTTCTTCTGATTATGAATAATGAGTGGTGTTGATGCAATTAATATTTGCTTCAATTTTAATTGATCTGAAGAGGTAAGTGACAAGGCATATATTTTGATGTTCGAAATTCGTATAAACCATTCCAACACATTGTGATGTTACCAGGAGATTACAAGGAAATAAAACACTACACGCGATCAAAAATTTCAGGAAATTGTTCTCACTTGAAACAAGGACTAATTCCTGCTTGAAGCGTACTATTAAGATCAGCACTTATTTGTCAAGGACTCTTAAAACCATGAATAAAGAGTACAGTTTACTAAATGGTCATAGATTGCTCTCCAATAAGATTCTGAATTAAAATGAAAATCTTTTGCATTGCTACGCAAAATCTAATTGTGATTTTGGTTAAATGTTTACATTTATTGTAAAAGTAATGACAGAATATTGATGATGAAGAAATGTTTTAACTTGGATAAAAATATTTATATCATTCATTAGTTTTGAAGAGCGTTTAATTGTTATGATTTCAAAACTAACACATATAATGCACATTACTTGTTTTTTACAGGGAGTTGCAGAACAATGGTATCTCCTCCTTGTCTAAAGATGATTTTAAAGGATTAAGAAACCTGACCCAGCTGTAAGTAATTAATTAGGCTTGATATGATGCTGTATATTTCAGTTTTTTATAGGCACAGGAATTTTTTTTAGTTTGAATGTAATGATACAGTCTTCAAGATATCGGAGGACAAAATCAAACCAGTCATCAGGGAGATACAAGTGAATGTGATGAAAATGGCCATAAAATTCACAAGCTGGTGTAATTTTGCACAATGTATTCAAATAAAACGTAAATTTGTTTTATATAGTTTTAGAAGAAAGACAAAATTAGTATTGCATACTATTTTGTTATTTTCTTATTTTGCTCACTGGTATTGATTTTTGGTCAAAATGGAATCAACAATACACAGCTATAGTCTTAAAATTGGAAGTGCAGTAACTTAAGAAACGTTATATTATAAAAAGAGGTTACGAAAATTGAAGGTCTATATATTTGTGTTTTTTGTAAAGAGTAGTTTTTCTTTTTCAATTTTAGATGTAGATTTACAATTGCATTGTGTACGGGGAGAAAAACATCTTTGGCCTGTAGATCATTGTCTTTTAATGAAGTTGTTGGAGCACATCTTAGTGGTCTTTTAATTTTGATCAGATACGTTGGAATATCAAGTCAGTAGAAAAAGATGCGATTGTCAGCGAACACAAAAGGGGACAGTGGCCTTTCATTAAATAGACACATTATACAATTATTAAAAGTCTTTTAACTTCGGGCCTTCACTTGGTTAAAAAGTTTAATTCGAAGATCAAGTTCAGCTTATTTTTAATGAAAGAAAATGTCATTAGAGACTTCGCATAGAAAGGTTAAGATTGAGTTTCTCTTTCATGTCTATAGGTATGTGTTGTATAGTTTGTCAAATGTGACTGTAGAAATTTGAATTTTTTCCCCCCTTTCAATATAAGTTTTTGTTTTAGGGAAAAAAATACACTTTCTTTCTTTGTAAAATATGAAGCAGTTTTTTAATGACTTTGTTGAAGGATATGTCGATAGGATTTCTTAAAGGAAATGCGAATCTTGGTTCATAAAGAACTTGGGAGAATGAAATCTCTTTTTTGATGTTTTTACATCATGCAACATGTTTAAGGTTTCTCCCCTTCCAGACAATTTTGTCATTCATGGTTTATATGTGTGTGAGAGGATACCATTATTTGGGCAAAGGGTACATGTGAAAACCGAAACCCTAATCATTACCAATATGGAATATTAACTCAGGTGTAATATTAAGAATTAATCATCGTGCTGTATTGAAGTCTCGTCGTGGACTAATGGTACACATTATAACATTTTAAACACATAGGTTTTTGTTTTCCTAAAGGCTACCTGAATATAATTGCTATATTGTTTTGCCTCTTGGAAAAGTTTACACCTTACAGCATGCAAAAATATCAGATTTTGAACATGTTGACCATATTACTGGTTAAGATATTTTAGTGTGGCTTGCACACATGTGGGTAATGGGTGTAATTAAAAGTGTACTTAGACACTCTACCATCTCTCTCTATATATATATCAAGACAGGAGAGTTAGAATGAACAATGCAGATCTAAAAGCTGCTTTATAACGGGGGATGTATATTTGCTACACTTCAGATTGCCACAAATTAATACCGTTAAATGTTAATGACGCTTTTTTTTTCATGTAGAGTGCTTGTTTACTTTTATGTCTAACAGATGGTCTGTTTCATACTTTGTATATATGGTTTCTAACAAATTGTAACTCAAGTCATTACACCCAGTTTTATGTGCTACAAGATTTGTTTTTTCATTATGAGCAATAATAGTTTGTTTTCTTTGATTTCATTGTTACAAAATGTTTGCAAGGCTAAGTTTTGATAAAGAAGGGAAAATAAAATTAATTTCGGGTAAGAATTTGTGTTAAATCAAGGGAAAAGAACCTTAACCTTATTATCACTGTGTCCTTTCAGCATTTTTTGGCCATCTGTTTCTTCTGGTAAACGGTTGTAAATACATCTTTTTAGTAATTACCATTGGTAATTGTTAAATCTTTATAGATTATAAATACCATTCAAAAGTCATGGTTGGAGAATATATATATTGATATATTTTTAGCCTTGATAAATTAATGTAACTATTAAAATTGATATGTTGTTGTGATCTGTTTTGTATAATAATCAGTAAAAGTTTATCTCGGTCCATTTAGAGATCTTGTACATTTACTACTTAAGACAAATCTTGTGGAAGATGAAAAAATTGCTTATTACATTGTTTGTTAAATTTAATTTTGAGTGATTTTAAATCTGTTTCCATCATCCATGATACTAGGCGGTGGGTAAAACGGTCTAAAGTTTTGTTCGTGGAATATCTTGGTGGATTTTATTTCTGCACCATGTTAAGCCGTGTGCATTAAGTTAGTCAATAGAAGTCATTATCTAGCTAATGTGATCACTTTCATCTATGATGTGGCAAGTGATACTAAAAAACATGAAATATGGGTTTCAGATAATAATAGCGTAACAGCGATAAATTCTTGATATTGCATGATATTAAGCGATAAAATTTGTGAAGTCACTCCGTAAAATTGTATGGTTGGGCTACCAAGTACGTGAAAGTTTAATGAAAAAAATACAGATTGACTTTTTATGGAAAGTTGGGTCTTTCTTCAGAGTGATATTGTATTGCTTTTTGTGCAACCTGAATAATTTAATGATGCTGAGATTTTCAATCAAAAAGGCTTGTTCCCAAATCGGGAAAACATTTAGGAATGTTAGTAAATTTGTTGCATGCAAATAGTTAACACTAGATTATAGGAAAACTATTCTTTCTTGGATTTACACCTGTTATAAATTTTTGTTTTATTCATATGAAAAACTAAGCCATTACTGTAACATTTAAAAGCATAAAAAAGTGTTTTGTTTTACACGATTAGAATTATGAAGACAACAGGGAAATGTTGTTTATTTTGTATACATGTACATGTATCATGACTGAATGTCGGAACTACATAGCCTAGATAGAGCACATCAGGTTTAAATTATCATAATTAAAACCAGTTATTAAAGATAGGAATTATATAACATAACTGTAAAATAATTTGAACCATCTGAATGCTTAAAACATGCACATATGTAACAGTGTCTATTGAAATATTTAATTTTGCTTCCCAGTTATCGAAATTTGGAAATGTACATCTTACCACTCTTAGAAATTTTGTTTGCTAGCATGTGATCAAATCTAAGAAATAAATATGGAAGGAATATAAATCTCAGATCTTTGAATCTCAAAACGAAGAAAATGTGTAAATTAGAGATAAACGCCATGGGTGTAAACATGCCATTCTGACATTCTCTTTATATTCCACTTCTGATTTTTAAGTGTTCTAATTTTAGCCACAGCATCCCCCCTGTTCATTTCTCAGATTTCAGCCCTATAGCGCGCGAGGTGTTGCAAGGGGGAAAAAAAATCGGCACCGAGTAATTCGATTGGATTCCGTAGATCTTACGGCGAGATTTCCAACACCAAAGGATGTAGCATTTTGTGTCGGGCTTAGATTTGAATGGGAAGGAAACATGTTCGGCAGTGTTAATAGTGTTGTTGTTTGCGTATAATGTGTACTTTTTTCTCGTATAATGTGTACTTTTTTCTTGGTGGGGACCAGGTGTAGGCAAAAGATGAGAGAAGGCAGAATCTGATGTTTTATGTTGATATTTGATGATAATCTCTCTCTCAGGGCCGATAGCTTTAGAATTTATGCCTGCAAGTTGTCATATTTCATACCTATTTAGTCAGTTTGAGATCTCTTTTCTTTTTCTCTCCTTCATCATGTTAATAAATGCAAAGACTTTACAAGAATTTTTTTTCTCTCAGTATTTTGAATATGTGTTAATACGATCATACACATATTCATAATGTTACAGTACTGTAATATTTTCTGTTTATGCTGTGCAAAATTTATTTGAAATACAGAACTTATTTACTAGCTATTTTGACCGATTTTAAATAATTTAACTGTGTCAATCGTGCAGGAAAAAAGCACTCAATTAAAAGTGCACATTTCCAAAAGTCTTTCCTGTGAAGAACTAGTGACATTGCAAATTCCTTTTACAAATAAGTAATAAGTAGTATGTCATCCCAGTAGAGAAATGACTAGTGTGTATAGGTTTAATTAACAACATCTGGCTTAGGTCCTCATAATTAATTCAGGTAGAAACGAATGACTTTTACCTATTATACCGCAGATTCACTTACAAAGTGTGACTTTCATCAAGGGGGAAAATTGCTCTTTTGTTCAAGGTTATTTTGTATAATATTTATAATTAATTTGATTACCATTACAAATTTATTTCCTTTTTCTAGATTTTTTTTTCTTTTTCATTTATAAAGTTGGTTTTTCATATATTTTTTTCTGTTCTGTATATGTCCTTGCATTCCTTTTGAGGTGAAATTTATTGCACTGTACATAAACGAAACAGGTGTTTACAGTAAATTTTATTCCTTGATTTAGATGAAGAGAAAAAAAAAAAACTGTTTAAATATATACGTACCAACATTACCACAGTTGCCCAAGCAAGAAGTTTTTAGCGTGGAAAGCCAGGTGTTGTTAAAAACAATCGGGACTTCCCAGGTAGAATGGGGGGATATTGAATTTCTCAGGTATTGGATGTGGTATAGTAAAAAGTATAGGGGTGCCTTAAGACATCGTAAGAAAAGGGTTTATATCAGCTGGCCCTTATCACAGACTTGTGCAATCAATGGAAAATTACAATTTGTCTCTTTTAATTCAGTGTTAATTTTCTTGATTTTGTTTTGTGATTGTGAATTTAGGGGCGAGAGGATTAAGCAAATCCAATTAAATTTAAAGAACTTTAAAAAGATGTTCTTCAATGTTTGTTCTATCTTTTTTTGGAGATAAAGGCTTGATTTAGAATCTTATCATGAATCTTGTCTCATAATTTTAATGTCCCTCAAAGATAATTAAAAGATAGTTTTATTGTTTTCTGTTCATTCGTTTCACTTATGTTTAAATATTAATGCATATGTCAAAATCTCAAGTTTTCTTAATAACATTTATCAAAATTAGTATTTTATAGATGAATATAAATTTATAGCAGTTGTATCCATTGAAATTATTATCGTTTGTTTCCCATTCAATTATCATAAGTGTAAATTTAAATATGTTAGAAAATGATTGTCCATTTGTAACCATCGCAAGAAAGAAAATCCCAGAGCAAACTTCCAAGGAAAAGTTTTTAAAATATCAAATCTGTCAAAATAAATTCAGCAGAACCTTTGTGGTATAATCCACTCGAAAGTGAGAGAAGTTTTAATACATTTACATGTAGAAGAAATTAGCATGCTAATAAGAAATTCATTATTAGCTTTTCACACCTTTCAAAAAAAAAGTGTTTTTCCACTAAGCAAACACGACCAGTTTTTGTACAGGGGGTTAATACTTATATCAATAGTTTGCCCAAACAACTCGCTGGACATACAAAGGGCCAGGGAATCGGTTACTTTGGGGGATAAAACAAAACAAATACGAGGGGTCTCGGAGCATGAAATTGCCCATTGTCGCTCATGTTTGCTTTTAATCTTGTTGTGTACGAAAAGTGTCACCTTGGCCAAGCAAAGGGAAAAAAGAGCTACCCTGGCCAGCCTCTCGGCTGGTGAACCAACTCTTAGGGGGGGGGAGAGAACTTTACATGTGTCAAAAGCCTGGTCAAGTCACTATTGTTGACTCTGTGTGTTCTTTGACAGAATATTTCACAACTCGGCCCAGGTCAAAGCTTAGAGGGAAAAGATTTCAATGCAGTAAATGCATTGTTTACCTGTGTACTTATAAACTTGTGTTGACTGTTGATGTGTTAATTAATGAAATGTCACCCTTGACAAGGAAAACAATAATGAAAGTATCAAATGCCAAATTAGGTTCTCGGTTCTGTGTTCAAGACATTTTCAGTGTGAGGTGACAGATTTCATCGTAACCTTTTAATGGTACACAGTGGTAGAGACTTTTAGAGGCAATGAAAACTGGTTTCAGATACCTATATTTGTTTATAAATATAAGTACATGTGGATAAATGTACTATAATAGATACTGAAATAACATAAAATAATATGAATTTTTGGCACAATCGTCATTTTTATTCTTTTTTATTTTTCGACTTCCTTGAAGTTTCAGTTATAAAGAAAAAGAATCTGATAAATGGGCGATGTGGGAAAATTTCTTTTGCAAAATAAATAAATGTACAACATTTTATGCACACAGTCAGAATCAATCTGACACTGCCATTAATCATGGGAAATGTTTTTATGTTGAATTCATTGTTTGTTTAAAATGCATGTAATGCAGTGAATTATAAAATTAATGTCCCTGACATGCCTAATTGATGCGAAATCTGGAATTTTTTTAAATTCGCATTTTTGTGTTGTTCAACATGGCACAACTTGACAAGAAATCAAAATTATCTATAAAAATTCTGTTTTTTGTCTGGATTTCTGAGAAAAATATAAAAAAAGTGGGTTAAATAAATTGAAATATATTCAGATATATCCATTCAAAGGTTATTCTGGAATAGATCTTTGCATATAAATATTGTCTGTTCATTGTTCTGTCTTGTTGAGAAGTCAGGAGAGAATTAATAAATATTGGTTTATTGATATGTGTGACAAATGAACTGTAAAGGCTTGTTTGACTAATTGAAAATGTCACCTAGAACTTAATGATGAAGTTTATGTATACAGTACATTATCGGAGGGTTCGGAAGATTAACACATCTAATGCAAATACTGATAGTAAAAGGCCTCCACACCAATGGAATAAAGCTCGATAAAGAATTAAACACCTGGGCGAATTTATAAATCTATAAGTATGATTTGGTGCCAAGGGCCATTTGTTCATCGCATTGTACGAGTAATAAGAAGAGAAAGTGTTTACTGGTCAAGAAGGGGCGAAGTGTTGAGTAAAGGTGTTAAAAGCAGGCCGGATTTTACATGGTCCAATGCCTCTCAATGTTAAGTTATTATTACGGATTAAATAGAAAACATTTGGTACCCCTGGTTAGTACCATCGGATTCGTAATATTTATCCGTACAGCTGTTGCCCATACATTCCTTTTATGTCTGCATATACCTGTGTACATTTCATTGTAAAGCCCCTTTAAAATAAATCATGTTGCCAGAGAATTCCAAAATTTTTTTTGTCATCCACAAAATGTAGATATATATATATATATAAATTAATATAATATTTACAGGCTTATGACTTCATGTTTTATGTGTTGAAAAATTTTGTGAAATTGTTTGTAAAAAAAATTTCATTATAACCAAAGTCGTGAATATTACAAATGTAAATTTATGACTTTTAATTTTGAGTGGACCACTGGGGGTTAATTGCGATTCCTGATTTAGTGAAGTCAGATTTAAAATTTGAATGTAGCATTTACTTCAACACGTGCCAGAACTACACATTACCTGTTCCAATAATAAAATTTTCCATCTGCATCTTGAAAAAAACAAAACGATTTAGGACTGAAATTTATTCTGTTTATATTGAAATGAACATGGACAAACTCCATAATTAACCATAGTTTTTGTAACAAGGATTAGCGTAAGAGTTCACACAAGTTTGCTTTTTGACATCTTTATTTTATTGTAACTGGAGGGGACAAGGTTTTACGTTTTTTATTGGTGTTTCTGTAATCCCCAGTGACTCAAAGAATGTAACCCGAGAGTCACTCTATTTGCATTTTCTTTCATGAAAACCTCATTTTAATTTACGTACAAAAAAATACTGGTTCAAAGCTGACCAGAAATCGGGTTTTGCAAGGTGGTAGTTAGATGAAAGATTTATCACTGTGTGTGTGTTTGATGTTAGGTTTAATATTATTTAATTCGGAGTGATCAAATTGGTGGGTTTTTTCACAGGATCAGTTTTCTTATAAATTGATACCTTTTCTGTTATGGGTCTTTTATTGAAGAGTATGGTATATACTTGTCTCAGATGTTTGGTACTGAAGAAAAATAGAGGGAGGGTGTGCTTGTGTAGAAAATTTATGGCCCGGACATTCCTCTGTGTAATACAAATTGGTTAGGTTTTTGTAAGATTGTATAGTTTTATGTAAATGATTGGGAATGGATGAACCACCCAACTTTTCATATGTTTGGCAGGGTTTGTCAGGGTAAATAGTAAGACCACTCATTTCCTCCGCATTGTTTTGGGGTGATTAGGCTGCACCTGCAGTTTATAAACCCGATATGCCTATCAAGTGCCTATCAAATACACCAAAAAAATCTTTCATGACTGCTGAAGGAATCTTTAAATTTAACTGAGGTTTTTGCCCTATTCGTTTTACTTTGGAAAATTCTGTTGCAGTTTCAGCGCACTTGATTTGAACCATAGAAATTGCATGTTTAAAATTTTCAATTTTTATTACAAAGTGCATTTTCAAAAATTAGCAAATAGAAATATTGACCAGGCAATAGTGTAAGTGTCAGAGATATTGACGGGGCTTTAGTCTACGTGTCAGAAATAAGGTGTGTTTTATGTACAGTGTCAATAGAGAAAGGATTAAAAAACTTAAACTCTTTAATAAATTGGGGGGAAAGCTGTGATGAAATCCATGCAAAGTTGCATGATTAAAGCCATTAAATGTGTCCTGTCATATTTGTAATATACGTTGCAGAAAATGATAATTTTAAGCTACCAGATATTGAGTAAGATTCAAGTCTCAAATTTAAAATGTTTGTAAGTATGTGTTGATTTTTGGATTAAAAAAAAGATATTTTAGATAAAAATTTATTTTATGCAAAAACCTTATTGAAAATGCTTATGAAAAACAATTAACTATAAATGTGCTGAATATGCAGTGTGTATAATATTACTTTTTATCCTGTTTACTGTACAGACAAAAGATGTTATAAATCTTAATGTGTGTCTAGTGGTTCGGCATATTGTTGACTTTATATGTGTTGAGAAACCCTTCTGTATCACAGTTACCAGCAAAATTTACAGCCCCTCCAAAGAGATTTTTCATGTCTGAATTCTGAGTTCTATTTACAAATTTCCTGATGTTTTAAGACTTGATGTGAATTAATGCATAGATTCAGAAGAATTTTTCTCAGCTTGGTGGCAAACTGGAAACTTGAAAATAAAAACAGACTTGTAAAAATTATTTATCGATGGACTCATTTTTTCTTGTCAAGAATATCAATAAATATATAATTAAGTATTCATTGACTCAACAACACCATGATAATTTTCTCTGAGTAATTTTTGTTTTAAATGATATACATATATAATTTATAATCTATCTATATATCTATAATTTTACGATATATTTATAATATCTAATTGATTTTTTTTTCTTTGCAGAGACATCAGTTCCAATGATCTTCACTTCCTAAATGACAGTGTCTTTGAACATCTGACGTCTTTAGAAATTCTGTAAGTAGATATTGTGTCACTAAATCTCCATCGACAAAACAGTATACACACACAGGGGCCTCGTATGATGTGCCGATTTAGTATCCAATAGCCGGTTTGATAGGCTGTTGATACCTTTGTTTTGCGGCTTATTGCAACAGCCATACAGAGACAAAATAATCAAAATTCCTGGATATCCCTGCAAACTCTGTCAATGATTGCCATATAAAAAGATAAATGTCTTCTTGACATGGTATTGATAGCAGTTTTGTGTCGACATTGGTTTTTTAAACTCACAGCTTGTAAATCTACAAGTGTTATAAATTGGCATCTTTAACTGTGAAGGTAGAAAGAGGAGAAAAAATTGAGGTTATTGGTGCATGTGTGAAATATTTTGTTATATATATGATGACTCTTGAGATGGGACATTTTTTGTGTGGTCTCCATACTGACGTGATGATGCTCGTTATCATTAGCACCTGACAGGTGAAACAATTGTCAGCAAGGCCAAGCAAAAATAGCCATTTGTTTTACGTAAATGGGTGGGGGGGGGATGCTGTATTATAATTGTTTGTTTCAATTTTTCTTGATAATTCAAGTTCCTTTTTTTTCTTTTCTAGAAAAATCAACCACAACAAACTCAATGAAGTGCCAAAACTCAAAGGACTTGGAAAGCTGAAAGTTTTAGAATTGTAAGTGATGATGTCTTTGTGAATCAATTATCAACTTCCCATAAAGTAGGGTAGTATTCCTCCATATATGTCTGTTAAAAAAAGGTTTTATCTCTCGTAAAATGGAGGTAAAATCCTGATAGAATTTATGACAGGTAATAGAAAAAACTTCAAAGGTGTAAAAAACCATATTAACAAAGATTGAGAAACACATTTGGTTAATGGGATGCACAATAAAATTCAGTGCAAAGCGATAACATCAATTGTTGCTACCTTGATAAAAATCACATGCAGTGATATAAAGTTGATGTGTATTGTACAGGTATGCAGAAGTGGCTGGCCAGCCCAATTTATCAGGTATCCTGCCAAAAAAATTAAACCTGCATCGACAGGTGAATGTTTGGATTGACAGGCGGGGGGTTATCTGAACCGACCAATCCCTGAAGTCGACCAGGGGAGGTCATCCTGAATAAATATAGACATTAGGGGCTGAAATTTTTGTTTCAGTGTGTGGTCTTTTGTCGCCAACTGTTAAGATATCCTCTTCTGTTGTCGGCTGTTTGTAATACCTTCCTCCCATTTTTTGGCAGAAATATGAGAGGGACTTTTATCTTGGTGCATGTCATAATTTTATGTGAGAAAGAGAGAGAGAGAGGAGATGGAGAGAGAGAGAGATAAGGGGAAAGGGGAGATTCATACCTATATAGCCCTCTTGTACTCCATTGTAGTACTAGATAACAGTTTTTCTTTTCAAAAATACTTTCAGTCTGAAAAAAAAGTTTATATTAAAAAATCCTTTAAAAACCTTGATGAGACTGACAACCATATCTGATATCCATAGATTTTCAAATTGATATGATATGAAAATGGAAGGAAAATGTTAGATTTATATTTAGGAGTTACAGAGTCGTAAAAGCTGAAATTACAAGCCATTGTTAGTTTGAGAATTGTTTAAAATTGTTATGGCATTCATTTATCTTAGTTAGGCTATAGAGAAGAGTCGCAAGGGACCATTAAACTATAAGGGAATGTATGGGGTATTGACAGTAATGTTGTAATCCAGGGGGAATAAGCGTGATGAAATGTTGATCATGTGCTGAAAACTCCTCATAAAGCATTCCCCAGAAATCAATTTCTGCTGGTGCAAATGGCCTGCGTAGGGTTACGTAATGATGCCGAGAACTTGTTTTTTAGGGGGGTATGCGGATGTATGGGCAAAACAGATAAGATACAGACACTGGATGTCTGCAATCATTTTTTTTTTTTTGATCTCTGGTGAAAATTGACCATGTGCGAACAGCTGATGTTGGGAAATAATATTTCATTTATTGTTTATTTTATTACACGGCTTTCAAGTTGAATTTGTTTAGAGTGGGTATGAAAGATGATGATCAAGTTAATATCCACATGCACGTCTTTATCTCAAGAAAAAAATTGTTTTAAGTTTTTCAATGATTAATGAAGATTGTTGAATGAAATATACATATCGATATTCCGATACTCTACTTGACATGACCAAAAAGCAAAACGCTGAAAGGTCTGCAGGCATACAGCTTGCATTATCAGGAAGCAGAAAATTTTATCTGTTATATTGTGTAATAGGGGGTGATGTAATTTCGATGGTGTTTGTAATGATATTCAGATGTTCAAATATTGGCATCATAATTGTCACAGTGTTGTTATAATGAATAAAACAAGGTTTTATGTTCTAACATTTTCAACTGTTCTGAAGTTTTTAAGCATGTGTACAGATCTTCAGATTGTGAACAGTAAATCATTTTGGAGGCCACAAAAACCATCTTTGTTTTGTTGTTTTATTTATTGAAGGTTTTCACAGATGAAATTTTCTTTTTCAGAAACCATAACCACATAGGAACCCTGGTCCCGGAGTTCATGATTCACATGGTCCAGCTGACGTCCCTAGAGCTGAACCACAACTCACTGACCGACATCATACCAGGGGTGTTCCCGGCCAACAACTCACTTCAAAAACTGTAAGTCTTCTAGAAATGAACCGCTTATATTCTGTCTTAAACATAATAAAGAGAAGAAAAAAAAAAGTTTTAGAATAAAAAATTTGTCCCAAACTGCGATGGATTTTTGTTTTTTTTTAAATTGTTGTTCGAACCTTTGCATTTATGGTAAAAATGAGGAAAAGCACGCACTAAATAGAAAACTTAAGAAAATTGAAATTGTACTCTTTCTGTTTAAAATTATAGATTAATCTCAATCGGATTAGCTCTTTCCCCTTGTTAAAAAATGTGTTAGTGTCAGTAATCAATCCTATGAAATCCCTGGCCCCATCCTGCTAGACAGTCTCTGAGTTCCTGTTATTGTTTTATATGGTATGTGAGACTGTGGAGACAGAGCTTGTCTGATGGCCTTATGCTGAAGTCTGGTCTGAACCAGGAGTGAAGGAGGGAAAGGTGCATTAGGTGTGAAGTGTCTGTGAACTACTGTAGGGTGTGAGAAAATATAGCCATACTAATGTCTGGCCGATTACATAATGAATATTACAGTACGGTTAAAAAAGCAAAGTGTTATTAGAGGTGTTAAAAGAATGGAAGACTTAAAATTAAAAAAGAGAGAAGGAAATTGATGAAGTGTTGAAAATCGGAGACGGAAAGTTTGACAAGGAGGTTTGATGAATGTGGAATGCTTCCAGGGCAGGCAGACAGCAAGATTGGGAGGGAGGGTGAATTTTTTTTTTAAGTAGGAGGGAGATCGGACTGTCTGGTGTTGGATGTGATATTTCGGCCACATTTCAGACTTTGATTCTGACTGATTACAAAGTGTAGACGTGTAACAGACGTGTGTTCTCTTGTGTGGCCCCTGTACCCCGAGCCTTCAGACTTAGCACTCAGTCTGCCTTTGATAGGATTTAATATTGACAAATTCTAACACCTTGATAATCTGTTCCAAGTTTGATCTTGAAGCACCACAGTAAATATGTTTTACAAGGTGATACATGTACTACAGGTTGTCTTTTGATCATTGGAAATCAATGAAGAGGTGCCCGTTTCTTATCGACCCCTCTAGTTACGAAGAACAAATAACCTGAAATTTAATGACACTACAAACAAAAAAAGGGAGCTGGCCTTGTAAAATTATAGTTATTTTTATAACAGGTTGGGGCCCTTCTGTCATATCTTACCACATCAGAAGTGATATACATAATGTTGGGCTCTGGACAAATGTTGAATTTTGATATTTTGTAAGAGGGGCCAGTGCTTTGTGTATTTTGTCTCTATTTTTTAGCATCAAAGCAAATGGTTAATGACATTCAGAAACCGAATCTCTTAAGATTTTAAGTTTTCATGTCTGTATTGAGTTTTAACTTATTCTCTTTTGACTGGGACAACACCTGTTAATGGCGACTAGAATTAAGTAGAATCTAATTCATTAAGGTCCCTTATGCTGACGTTACTGTACCACATTTCCCTGTTGACTGCTAAAAAATAAATCTCCATTCTGATTTACTGTGATTAGAAAATAGCTTTCTACCATTCTATACCAAATACCATTGCCTTGGGGTTAGAGCACAATGGAAATGATACGATAAATTTGTCGTCCGCAGATTTTAACCTCTCCCGTTTTGAAACTTGATGCAGAAGTCCAAACCCTTATTTTTTTCTGTACAATATTTCAAAATGTTTTTTTAAGGCTATCAGATTTTCCTTTATGGAAGGAAAAAGAGTATAAAAAGAGTTCTTAAAAATATATATAATCTGTAAAATGTCTGGCACTTAAAGAAACGTGTCTAGCAAGTTTCACAAATAACAAAAAGAATTAAAAATAATCAGTGGAATCATAAAATTCAATATGATTAATCCCAAGTTATGGAAATGTCTTCTATCGAGTTGACAATTATATAATGAAGGAAAAGTTGAAAAAAATCTTCCAAAGATCATGAAGTTGAAGAAGAAAAAAAAGTTTCAGGAATGATTCACTGATCACCTCTGACTTTTTTCATTGGGTCTTCAAAAATTATTTTTGTACATAGAAGAAATATAGAGAGAAAGAAAAATTTAAAACATTTGATCATTTGAAAATTTGTTTTTCTAGTGTCCTGAATAATAACTACCTGGAGTCTTTCGAGTCGAACTGCTTTGACAACCTGACATCACTGGAGGTTCTGAAGATCAACAAAAACAAGGTGACCACCATCTCCAGAGATATCTTCAAGAAGCTGACTAACCTGCAAACTTTGTAAGTAACTTTCATAAGACTCAGGCATCGAACAAGCAAGTCATACATACAAGTCTATTATTCACGTCTTTAAGTCATTGTACGTCTTCATAGGACTCTGGGTTATAGAAATTTCACACCATCTGTGTACAACTTTCTGAAAAGGAAGTCAAAACTCTTATGAATTTGACATTGTAACATAAGTCATAGATGCATGGATGTCTATAATAATTCACATCTATAAGTCTGTGCACAGCTTTCTGGAAACTTTTGTAAGACATACTTTGACATTCTTACATGTAAGTCATAGATACAGGTCTATAATTCCCATCTATAAGTCTATGTACATGTACAACTTTCTGGTATAAAACAAAATCTGTGGAAATAATTGAGGAAAGGAAAGTTATAGATTAGAAATTAACTTGGTTTTGGAAAATCTAATGGATGTCTGGTGTTTCATTGCTTAGGTTATGTATTTATAATTTGAAAGGAAAGTTTCTGTGACTAAATTTGACTAGAATGGTCTTAATGATTGCTGACATGTCAAAAAGAAAAGAGCATTGGTGACTTGACTTTGCCATAGAGAAGACAATTTAGGGAAAATTGGGGGGAGAGCAGGACTTAAAATAGATACAGTGGTATTTTAAGAGGAGACTGTAGAGTGATGTGACGGGTCGGGAGATTGAGAGATTGGTCTGGGAGAAGTGGTGACAGCCGAAATAATTGTCAGGAAAATGGTCTAATTGGGGTCCTAGCTTATTGTGAGTGATGTAATGGATATTTATGAACTTTTAGGAGGTTGGTGATGGAAGGAAAATTATCCCGGAATAATCATTTGATGATTGAAATGTTGTGTCAGTTAAGTCTAGATGCTGGATTGTTTTTAATATAGGGGGACATTGTTTACAGTATGTATACATGAAAGATTAACATTTAAATGACAGAAAAATATATATGTTTATTGGTCATAACAATGATGGTGACTGAACTATATGAAATAAGGTTGAAATTTTTTTCAATTTTATTATGGAATTTTTTGAATGAATGAATTGAAAAAAAAAAATAGAGAAGCAAAAATTGGGAAGATGCTGCTTAAACATACACAGATATGGGAAATATTTTTTGAGTTGAGGCAGATATGGGAAATATTTTTTAAGTAAAAGAAAAATATAAGGAAACTATCAGTCCCACCTGTTTCAACATTGAGCTGAACGATTTCTCCTGCGTTATCCTGTGTTATCGGTGGCTGCATTACAAGAAAATTGGAGTGATTCCATATCACAAATACATTTCATATTCAATAAAAGTCGTTCTTTGCTCTCCAACACCTGCACTAAGCTGGGAGTCTGGAATCCGTATACAGGGGATCGCCCAGTAGAAGGGTGCTAAAATTACCCCTTAATCAATGGGGATGAAAAGCTACCTATCTCTGTAAGCTCCAATTAGGAAGATAACCGAACAGAAAGAAAAATAAAATATAGCAAGGAAAACGATAAAAATTTCAGTCTTTGGAAAGTGCAGGTAGCAGCTGGGCTGTTTTGACGAGGGTGATTAATTTAGGGGTTAATGAGATAATGATTAATTATAGTAGTTAAACATATTAAGGTTATCAAAGAACAAAAAAGAAAAACAAATAAATTTATAGATTTTAATCAAAAATTGCATACTATTTGATACAGATTTGTAAAACTTTCTTGAGAAAACCATTAGGGCCTTGAAATATTTCTTTTAAAAAATATATCTTCTTATAAACTTTGATATTCTGTTGTACTTTTAAAACCAATATGAGGAATTGTAGTCAAATATTCAAATGACCACCTTCCGTTTTACAGGGAGATGACAAAGAACAAACTGAAGAGAATTGGTGGACTGACTTTTCAGGATCTGAAGAATCTGAAGACACTGAAGTTGAGGAAGAATATGATAACAACGATTTCTGATGGAGCGTTCTACGGCCTGGACAAACTTGTCACATTGTAAGTGGGATGGCATTTAGTAACGTCTAGGAGAAAAAGAGCTGTGTACAGTTAAATATGGATATATAGCAAACATGCTTATAATGAATTCATGCTTACGACAACATAATTTTTAATCCATGTGGTCTTAAAAAGTATTGTATTCTAACTAGATATAATGAATTATGTTGACAATGTATCAAAATTGCACATCCCTTGTATAAACAGTGATAGTAGACTTCTGTATTTGAGGTACAATGCAGAGACATTGAGAACAATGATACTGAAATGATTTGTCAGATTCCAGGCCAGAGTTTGAATCTGTTACTGCAGGTTTCTTTACCAGTTTATTTTTCTTTTCTGATTTGTGTAGAATAGTTGGATGTAACTGTAAGTATTGACAAAGTGTGTAGGAGAGAAACATTTGTTTTAGTGATTTGTTATCAGAATGGGGCTCTGGTATAAGAGAGAGAAGAGAAAGCACAGCGAAAAATCTGAAAATGCTCCCCTCGTAACAAAAGGCAGTGTACAGGCACTGGGAACAGAAGGAAAAATCATTACACTGAAAAACAGAGCATCAGAACCCAAGATATATCATCCACATATTGGTTGTCTTTTCAGTATTTTACATGTGTGATTAATGTTAGAGCATTAGTGGATATCTGTATTACGAATTGAGGTTCACAAGTGCTAAGTTTTTAAGGTTTTGGTACAAATAACTAGATAGGAGGAAATTTGTTCTCCTTGTTGCGGAAGTTAGTTCTTCTACTCGTGCCTGGCTACACTTACGACCAAAAAAACAAACTGTTTACTCGGGCAGGGCATGACTTCCTTCCCTTTAAAAAAAAATGATGAATCTACCATCTGGCTGAGTTTAATAAGGGTTGATATGAATTTGATATGCGATGCCTGATAATGAATTCCCTTCACACCCAGAGATTTGCGATGAAACCATAAAAACATATGCTCGTTAGTGGGGCACAGACAAAAACCGGTATTGTGCTGCAAGGCCACGGAGAGAAGAAAAAAGTGAAGAAACGCCAAAAAACTGGGGGAAGCTTTGCCAACTCGAGGGCAATTCAATATATTATTGTAGAAAGTTGTAGTATACACAACATGTACAAACTCTGCAGTTATTAAGTTAAACAAACTTGAATGTAATATTGGTTGTTGAGAATATTTAATTTTTTATATGCTGAGAGAGAACCCTCTCTGATCTATGTCTATATAAACAAAAGAAAACGATAAATCAGTTGTATAACATGATGTATCAAGGACAATTTGTTTTTTATTTTTAGGCAGTTGGAACATAACAACATGACCCGAGTGACCCAGTCGTGGCTGTATGGGTTAAAAGGCTTGAGAGAGATGTAAGTGTGTAATATTAATTGATTATAAGGACTTCCTACTTGTACCATAGCTCCATTTATCAATATCCTAAAAACGTCCAACAATTTTATCAGCCAGGTATCTGAATGCAATACATTGTATAATAATCTGGTGAAACAAAACATTGTTACTTCTAGTAAAGGATAAGAAAAGTAAATCATTCTTATCTTAAGACTTGATACAGTCTTGTCCAGAAAAATGGGGAAACTTGGGTACAAAGGGAAAGAAAAACAGAATTATTGAATGTATAGAGATCTTCAGCATGTGGAAGCTGTCGGAAATGATGGGGAGGATGTTTACAGGCTAACAAGCGGTGTAGGGCCAGTTTGGTGTGTTGACCAGTGTTTATTTGTGATGAACTGACACTAATCACTTGATCATTGGTGATGATAGCTTTGTCTGAATGGAAGGCTTCAAGGCAGAAAATACTACCTCAAAGGGAGGCAGTTGTACAGATCTGAGGTGGAAGCTCAGCTTCTACGGGAAGAAGGGTTTTCTTGGAAGTTTGTCCTTGATTTCTTGGGAAAAAAATGATTAAATTATTAGACTTTTATAAGGTTGTTTTTTGCGATACGTGTTCAAAACCATGCAAGTTAGAGAAAAAAAAGTGCATAAATGTAAATTACAATAATTTAAATACTTTCTTAAATATGCATATAAAAAAAACTTGCATGATGTTATATTAATTTGCGTTTATAATTTCATGATTTCTTGGTGATTAAATATTCTGCAGATTTAATTTCATCTGTACTGAGATGATGAATACTTCCTTTCATTGCATTTTAGAAAGATAATATTTTAAAATATTCCTTTACTTTAAGAAAATTATGCTTGAAACAGTACGAGAGGTTAAGAAAGACAATTATTTTAATTTATTTTTTGAATAAATATTCTTTCAAAAAAAAAAAAAAAAAGAAATTACATTTGCAAAGATTATACTATCTTTTGAACCACCATGCATCCTTTTTCTGTGGAGTCCTCTTCATTTTCTTTGGCAACGACTTAAAAACATCTGATCTTCCCTGGAAGTGGCGCGATCTGTCATCAAGCCTGTAATTGACTTGGAAACCAGCTAAAAAACTCAAAATCAAATATTATTTTAAACCAGCTGCCTCTTGCTGCTACATTTCACTGATCTCTTCCTTATGGAGTCTTGGTCTCTATCATCTAGGTTTTCAGTTCTTTTTCATGGGAAATTGAAAAAGGGGGATTGATAATTACAAAGTTTTTTGTTACTGGGGGTATGAATTTTGTGGGGTCTCCTGAATATAATTTGAACTTGTTGCTGATTTTTTTTCTTGATTCATTTTGGGAGGGCAAGGAGATTGTGTAAGAAATTAGATTTTATTGATAGGAAGCAGTTCTCTAACCTTGTATAATTAGATGCCGTATTTAATATTCAACAATTCAATAAATGGTAGGCCAGCAAGCCAAGTGCTAGGTTTGGTTATTGTAGCATATGCCTGGAACACATTGTTATTGAATTAATTTCATGGCTCAGCATTTTCAATATATTTACATCCTCGCTTATTGGCCCCCACTTTCACACCACCACAATGGGGGGACAAAGGAACGCCACCTTTCACTTGTAAGACGGGGATCCCATGGACAAAAGTTGAATTAATTTTTCAGCATTATGAATTCAGTTGTGAAAGTCTTCATCGACAGAAATTTCCATTTCAAAAGAGTTTTATGACGGATCCCACACTATACAGGGTTTTATGTTAGGGAAGAAGAAAAAAAAATGAAAGGAAAGAAAGCATTGACTCTTGTCAAAGAAATAAGCCAGGGAAGAGAAGATATAAGTTGACCTTTCAAGAGTAGAGGTAATGTGCAACTCTAGTTTGCAGGCTCGGTATTTCAGATGAAGTTTCTTTTTTTGCTGTTGGGCCATGGAAAGAAAAAAAAGTATATCTTCTCATTAAGTAGAGATGATCAGTATTTTTATCGTCTGTGATGCAAACTTATCAGAAAAATTGGAGCCAGTCTACACTTTTGCAGGAACAGTCAAGAGATAGGGTACCCCAAGTCCTCTCCAACAAAGCTGTATATTGTGTGTAAACTTAATGAGCCATGAAGTACACTTATTTATTGGTTTTAATTACAAATTAATTAAAATTTCTAGGGAAAATGAAATGATGTGTAGGAAATTTCAAGCATTCTTTGGTGAAATTTAAGCTTATTGCCAAGAGGTTTCATTTAAACATGATGATAGTACCATATGTACTTTAAAAAGGTAAATAAGTACTTAAAAAAGAAAGAAAAATTCTGAAAGAATCCAAAAAAAAAAAAGCAAAAAGAAAAAATCTTGAAAGAAACCAGAAACAAAGCAAAAAGAAAAAAAACCATCATGAACAATTATAAAATGAAGTTATGAAACAAAGCAAATTGTTTACAGTTTAAATTATGAAATTAAGTAGAATTGAGGTGTCTTGTAAGTATAGCAATTAAATTGTGATAGGGAGAAAGGCTTATACATTGTCAAATTCTAGTTCTTGCTGTCAGGTGCAGCGTGTGAGAAGGATCTGCAGAGGTTATGTACAGGGCTAATTTGTCCCTCTCTCTGTGTAGCTCTTATGTCTTTGAACCTACGAAACTCCAACACTTGCAAATGATGTGGTTTTTCTCTCATTCAGTCCACCAATACGCAGAGAGATTTGGAGTACGTATCATTCATAATCATGACACAGGTATCATTCATAATCATGACACAGTTCCAAGGAAAGATAAAAATAAATCTACATGCACATTTTTCATGCGGTCTCTCGTAAAGTTGTAGGCTCGACATGGAAGAATTTTTAATTGTCTCTTTTTCTTTTGCTTGGTTTTATTTTCTTAATCTGGTCGTTTTTCTTTCATTGTGTTTTATTTATAACAAACTTTGGAGATGTTTATGTTTTATGGGTCAAAGGAGTTAACCTCTTGGCATTTATGAAAAGATTTTTTTTTTTTCGTTTTTGTTTGGAATGGCCATGGAAAGAAGATACAAGATGTAGAGGCCTGTTTTTGAAGATAAAACAAACTTGTATAACTAGGTTGTTTACATTAAGTGCTTAAACATTTAGGGAAATGATTATAAACACTTCTTTTATTATGATTTACCTTCAAGAACTTTGCCCATTTAACAATGGGTAACAAATGTATGAACTTTGGATACTTTTGAAAAAAAAAAATTGTTTAGAATATAATTTTATTTATGTCAGGGAAACTATTTTATCAGAGCAGAGTGTGAAGAATATCTCCAATCTCTCTCCGCCAAAAAAAATGTATAAGCTTGTGCGGTGATCTGTGAACTCAGAGGTCGAAAGTGAGATTTGTGCACAAATGCAAACTGTTGAGAATCGTAGATTACCCCCCAGCTGAAACTGTGTATTCTATTTCACCGCCCGTCATCTGAACAAATTTGATTAGGGAAGGGGATCTAGTCTGAGAAAACGTCTGATAATTTCTGACAGGGAGGATAACGACATTTCCAGGTGTCGAAAATATAAAAAAAAATATTGATGGAATTCGCAGGCTGCGAGACCCTATCTCGCTTCTCTTGTTTTCACAAAAAGTATTTTGCCAGGTGTGCTAGTCTCAGAATTTGGGAGGAAATTTCTTCTTTTCTTTTTTCTCAGACATTTTTCATCTGCCGATTTTATTTTTTTGTGTTTTTCAAGATTTGGGTGGGATCCGAATTGGAGGTTTCCGCAAATATTACCCTTATATTTGAAACAAACCGATAATTTTTTTGAATTATGAAAGTATTGGGTGGGACCAGAATTGGAGGTCTTCCGCAAATATTACCCCTATATTTGATCTAGTCTGAAACAAACTTCAGTAATTACAGTCATTAATATAATTACATATTCTGTGAACCTGTACAAATACAATTTGTCACATCTGCTCTGACGAAAAGTTGTTCCCATGAAATTTGATTTCGATTCACATTGGATTTAAATACAAGTCCGTGATTCCTAAATCCCGCGAGGTCAATAATTAAGAGATATAAAAATCGCGGGAGAACGATCACTCCCTGTTTACATAATTTCTCTATTAAGATGCATAAGGCTGCTTGCGAGCATGAAATTTAAACCCATCTTTTCGGAATACTTGATATGTGTGACAGTTTTCTATGAAACTTGACACCCAGAATTGTACGAGGAGAAAGGAAAGCTTGTCCATACCACTCATTTACTCTCTACTTAATATGTAAATAGACCCCTCTAACCATATTTACGACTTTATGGTTAACATTATAGGTCCGATCATCTTTTTTTATCTTCTCCCGAGTATATTATTCCCTAGATGTATAAATAAATTAGGACACCCACAAATGATCTAAAAAAAAATGCATAACATTTTGTGGGTTTTAAAGTTGTTCCAACTTGTGCATATATATATGAAATTGTACATGATGGTTGGATAAAATTATTCTGTAATAATTTAATATTCAATTGACCAATTTAATAGACAGTGTTGTAACATGTATAAGGGCTGCATATATACTTTATTGCATTGATTTTGAAAAAAATATATCGTTGATTTTAATAGTTTGAATATTATTCACATGATTTCGAAATGTGAAGGTGATAAAGTCTTAAAAAAAATTAGAAAGTAAATATTCATTTTGTTGTTTTTTTTTCTCAGAAATCTTGCACACAACAAGATCAAGACAATAGATCCCGAGGCATGGCAGGGCTGTGTTTCAATTGATACAATGTAAGTATTTATTTTAAAAAAATTGTCAACAGAATTTGCTTATAACCAAAAAATGATTTTTAAAAAAGATGCACTTCCAGAAAGGGTAAGCTTCTTGTTCAAAGCTTTTATCCCTTTTGAATAGAAGTTGGAATGAAAAAAAGAAAAATACATTTTCTAGAGGGAAATTGTTTGCACCAGCTGCATTAGGATAATAACGAGTCAGGGTTGGGGGAAATGACATTATATTAAATCCCTCTTAGTTGTATAATTTGTGTAATTTCTGAATTTGAATTGGTAGCCGAAATTCAAATTTCAATCTTGTAAACTTATTCTCAACTCTTAAAAAAGAAATCAAGGAATTCAATAAGATGGCAACATTTGGTATAATTTTTGTTTAGGCCTATCAATAGAGAATTTGAATTTCAAACATGCCTGTATACCAACTTTTCTATCCCGGCTCATATTAGCATAAAACGGTCATTGAAAATAAGGGTCCTAAATCCATGTAGAGTGATTCACTGAGAGAGCCAGAGAAAAAAATGTCCTCGGAAATTACTTTTCCATTTGCCAATTTAAATTAAGGAGGAATTGATAGGAGGTGTTGCTCTGTTGTACGCGGGTAATCCGCTTAATACATTCTGTGTCTGACTGGGAAAACATTTCCAGCCTTTTTTTTCATATTTTCATTAGAATTTTCCTTGGTGCTGGTTGACATTTTCACGGCTTCGTGATTTTGAGGTCACGGAATGTGTGAAAGAAAAATGCCTTCATTATGACTTGAGGGGGCAGTGTTAGATAACTGAGCAAGCATCTGGGTTTATATAGAAAGAAACATATGACACGTCTCAGAGAATCAGACTGTTTATTATAAAATGGTAAAAAAGTTGTAAAGGGGGGTGGGTTGGAAAGTTAAGAGAAAGACTTGGGAGATGAAGAGCATTAAATTGTCCAGATTTGAAAGTTAAGGGGTTTGGAGTAGCCATTTTTCGTGCAAGTTTGCTGGATGCATCTGAAGCACATCATATGATCTTTAAATTATTAACTTTGAAAACACAATACATATAAGATTATATTGAAGTCAGTCTCCATAAGTTAATGTTTCTTCCTATACTATATTGTATTGTGAGTGCACACCATATGTGGTATGTAAAATTTTAATTGCTGCATTCTTTAGAGACTCAAGTATATTTTTTCCCTTCAAATTCCGCTCATTTGCTGTTTTTGTCATTATAGTCCTTATATACCTGTTTTTTTTCCATTCATGAATAAAGTCTGATTAGCTAGGTAACAGGTGTCTTGTGTAACTAGTGCATTCTGATGATTTGTCAGCCTGGTCTAGGAGAAACAATGTTAATTGGAGGACTTTTAACGAGGGTTTTGACTAATTACTCTACTTTCATAGCTCAGTAGGTCGACACTGTTAGTCGGCATAAGATCTTTAGCATACGAGAGAAAAGTGCTTGCCTTGTATGGGAAACGTGTGCTCATTAGCAATTTGAGAAAAAACAGTAGGTACTATTTCAAGGCTTGATTGACATATTCTGGAAAGTAGAAGAAGATATCAAGATACAGATTGTAAAAAAATTGGACAATTATTGCACAGGGAATAAATTTATATATACACATGTAACAATATTCTTTGAAATGTTGCTTAACAAGACAATAAATTTTATTCCCCAGTACCCATCCTTTTTTATGCTCGCTATGTTTTATGATTTTTCTTTTCCCTTCTGAACATCTGGTATGACTAATTAGTGAAATTAATCGGCTTTTGTTTGGAAATATTCCAAGGATAAAGTTTATGGCTTGGAAAAAAGTTAGATAAAACCATACCATCTCTTGGTTTAATGTTCTTAGACATAGGGCTGAATATTGTAAACATATGAAGAATCCTGAGTGCATTTGGCTTCTTAATGTCAGACACTGCATTAGAGTAAGAAAAATGAATTCAATATCGATATCATGTTATTCTATTTAACAAATATTATTTAAGTGTAAAGCAGGTGCAATATTTATGGGAATTTTTCACTTTAATACGTAACTTTTTTTTTTTGAAAATTGAAACAATTTTTTTTCAGTTGTTAGGAGTAAAATTGTATTTTCTTGAGTTTAATTTTGCAGAGGTAATTAAGTTTTACATTGCCAAAAGTGTCATGTGAAGTACTCTGCAACTTGCAACCCTATTCCCCCAAACTCCAATTAGTGCCATCCAAAAAATCCCCTGTCTCATTCATGCATGCATTTTCTTGTCCAGTTCCCCAGCGGATTAAGAAGTCATCTTTAGTTCAAATTACTCTGCCGAGTATGGAGACAATTGATTTCTGACCGAGGCTATTCACCTTTCTGTACCCCTTTTGTTCACCTCGAATTCTGAGGTGTGATTGGCACTTGAGGGATAAATCGATTTAAAAATACCTTACAGGTGTTATCCTGTGTGTCTGTGCATATTTTATGATAAAAATTCTAGGTTAAGGATGCTTTAGTTAGATTTAGCTGCTGAGGTCTAAGATAGCGGTCCTGTTATGGGAATGAGATGTCACCGTGCTGTATTTAGAAGGGGGGCATGTTCCCTTGTTTTGGGAGGGGGAGTGATCGGACACTTATCGGTAAACAGATATGCCCTCCTTGAAGGGTGAACAATGGTGACCTGGTTTTAATGGGTAGGGGACTGGTCCTAATAATTGAAAATGTTTTATTCTGGCTGTCAAATTATATACATCTCTATCTATATGATAGGGAAGCCATTACAAAAGGGGCCAAATTGTTAAGTTGTTTGAAAAGGATCTGATCAAACAACATTAAACATTCATTCTTCTTTCTTAGTCATTAGGTTACTTGTGAATCTTAAAAAAATATCAATTATGAGAAGAAAAAAATTTTCTCAGAACTCCAATAATCTATATTTGTCAGCATGCAATTATTTTCAAATTGGTGAAGATGATTAAGGTATTCAATCCCTAATAGGAACAAATTCAATGAAATTGAATACATAACAGATATGTAGGCATTGAATACTCAATTTATTTAGACATACTTCCCATATATTACTATTCGTACGTATAGTGGGATGTGTCCTAATTTATGACCTTAAATTTTGGTAAGAGTTATCTCCCCTTTTTTTAATTAATAAAAAAAATCAATCAAAAAAATTTAGCCGGTAAAAAAAATTGTTTTAAATGTCATTTTATTTTTAATGTTTCAATGCATCTTTCCACCGCAGGATTTTTTTATATTCAAATTTTTTGAATTTTTATTTTGAAAAAAAGCTTTTCCCCATAGACTTCAATGCAGTCTTTGTTAATTAACTACTGCTTAATTAATGACATTTTTGAAACTTTCTCGTGGTCAATCCTTTTCTATTATAAAATTCTTTAATATAATATCATAGTATTATTTATTTGACGGATATTTAAGGGTAGGGAATTTGGTCCCATTAGGGATGGAAATCCTTAAAATGAAAATGCTTCAGGTTCACAAAATGAGTGAAAAAATTTAAAACATAAGAATGGAGTTTTATAAAATGTATTTTTTTTCTCTCCAGAGATTTGTCCAACAACAGACTGGTGACTATCAGCGGTCTGGCTTTCTCTAAGCTCAGTCATCTGAAGAAACTGTTCCTCAATAGTAACATGATCACCAACATCCAGGATGGAGCGTTTCAGCATCTACAGGAGCTGGAGGAACTGTAAGTAAAGGAGTGGATCCAAAGAATTCAGATTTCAATTATGAACATGATTATATTCATAAGTCAAATGTTAAAACATGAACATTAAATATATCAAAGAAAATGCATTTATAAATAAAATACCTTTAATTCTATTCAATCCATAGGTAAAAGATTTATCTTTTGATTGCTATAGTATGTCTGATTTGTACTTTATTTATTAAGTATGCTTTGACAAAGAACTATATGCGGTATTAGCCAACATTTGCCCCCCAAAATCAAACTTTGATGGAGTAATATTTAATTAAGTCCTTAAACAGGGGAGTATATGCTGACTTCAAAGCACTGAATAATTTCATAAGTAATGACGTCATATGTACGTAATGGTCACAAAAAGTAAATTTCAGTTTTTTATGAATTTTGCAGAAAAATGTACATATTTTGTCGATATTTTAAATAAAAGTCACCGAGCGCATGTGTGTTCAGGATTAATATTTTGATATAATGTGTAGAATGATAATATCAATGAAATATGTCAATATTGTTCCTGAACACACATGCGCTCTATAAATTCTAAAGCTTAAATTGTTGAAATTTTGTCCATTTTGTCCTCTTTCTGAAAAAGGATATAAAATAGGACTAGTTTGTGACGTCATAAAAACAGAAATTGTGAATACACTGCTCTGGAACTATAATATTTTCTGTTAACTTATATTTCTCGTACAATTTATTGAATTCAGCACATTTCAGGAAGTTTTCAAAATTTGACTTTTGTGGGGGCAAACATATGCAATATACCGCATATAGTTCTTTACGCAGACATTTGTGTACATATAGTTAATTAATCCCATGCTGGAAAAGTACATCTACATATTATTTACTGGCAAATGATATATATAGAATAAAAAATTTCTAGAAAGATGCTTGTTTCTGAAGAAGTTGAAAGGTAATTAAATCACAAGTTTGATAACTTTTAGGGAACTGAACAATAACGACTTGTCCTGGACCATTGAGGATAAGTCTGGAGTGTTTGTGGGTCTGGAGATGTTAATGAAGCTAAAGCTGGAGAATAACAAGATCAAGTCCATTGCTAACGATGCGTTCAAAGGCCTGACCAACCTACGGGTTCTCAGTTTGAACATGAACAACATCACGTCCATCAAGAACAACGCCCTGGAGAGCATGGCCCTACTACAACAACTGTAAGTCACTGAGAGTGTGGGTCAAGAGAGATAACTCCTGGGAAAATTTAGAAATTAATTATAATGCATAACATGTCTGTTTTAATAGCATTATTTCTTGTGAGATAGTCTAATTTAAAGATTGTCTTTACTCTGAAATTTCTGTTACAATTAATATTTGTCAAAAGAGAAATTTCACACTTTATCATTTGCCTATATAAAAAACACAGTTTATATAATGTTTATGGCTTTAGATGGATTCAATTTATCTGACTTTCTGATTTTCTATTTTGACAGGTACATGAATTCGTCCAGCTTTCTGTGTGACTGTCAGCTTCAGTGGCTGCCCACGTGGTTGATTCAGAAGACATTCCACACCATGGTCACCGCTAAGTGTGCTTACCCACCCAAACTCACAGGGAAGAATATCTTTCTGGTCCAGTCTGACGAATTCAAGTGTGGTAAGTTATCCTTGTGTCATTCAAGTTAGTGGATTCATATATCACAGTATGAAATTCGGAAACATAAGCTTGAAGCCCTGCATAAGGAATACGCAAGTTTCGAGATTATTTCCCTTAGTGCGCTCTTTCGTTGAGGAGTGGAGTTTGGTTGCCGCGTACACAAACAGGTGGGACAGATATTTACTAGTATATATTGGATATATCGCATCATCGATATACTGGTTTATTGTAGTTCTACATAATTGTTAGGATGCACTGTTCAACTAGAGAATAACGGACTTAAAGTAAAGGCGTTATTTTTAAAGCAAAAAAATCGGAACAAAAAAAGAAAATTCAGTGGATGTGAGACTTTTCAGACGAGGGAAGAGACATATGGACCTCTAATAAATACGGTAAACATAAATCTGATCATCACATATCGGCAATCTAAATGACACGTTCATTTTTTTTCCTTATTATAACTTCAAAAAACCCACTAACCTTTTAGAAAATGTTTGTACAATCAAGAAAATCTTTTACTTTTAATAAAGACCACGACGTTTATTTCGTTTTCAAGTACCCTATTATTGAAGGTAGATTTGCAAAAATACACAGTTGAGCTTGATAAAATCATAAAATGCATCACTGCTTGACACTTTTATCTTTCTTTAACATTAAATAAATTTTAAAAGCCATAAACATCGTTCATTTATTTATGCACGTTTGTATACATAAACAAACTGTCCCACCTCCATGCTGAAATGGATACTTTTTGCGCCTCTGTCGTAGAAGAGTTACAATCTCGAAACTCGCGTATTGGATATGATTTTAAGCAGTTTGCTGACGTATTTTATGGAATTTTTCAGATGGTGATTTTCTAAAGCCATACATCATGTCTCACCCTAAGACCAGGGTGGCACTGAAGAATGACAATATAACCTTGACCTGCCAGGCAGTCAGTACAGAGGATTCTGGGACAGTTTTCATCTGGAAAAGGGACAATGTGGTATGTAGACCTTAAAATAATCAAAAATAATGTTCTGCAAGTTGGAACATCATACTTTTAATGGATACCAGGGCCAGAGAAACAGAAATCGTAATATATCATTAAGAGAATGACATGGTAAAATTTTTTGAAAATACAAAATGTAGAAATTTGTCAGTTTCAAAGATTTTTTGTAAGTAGTAAGAGAAATCGCCTGAATGATTATGGTAAGTAAGGCTAATTGACCATGTTTACAGTAATTAACTTCTACATCGTTGTTTCAGGTGTTGACAGAGGGGATGGACAACACTAAGGAGGCAGGGGTCCTGGGTGATGGAAGATCTATTTATAACTTCACCTCCCACCTCAACCTCAGAAACATACAGGAGAGAGACGTGGGAAACTTTCAGTGTGTAATCACCAATAAGTTTGGCTCCGCCTACTCCAATAAAGCTAACATCACCATTCATGGTAAGTTGTAGGTTTCAGTTAAAATTGAGAATTGTCAAAGACTTGGTATAAAAATTTCAAGAGAGTTAATGGGCAGTTTTCAGAGTTTAAATTGATCATCAGGCTTGCATTCAGATATTTGTAGTGTGATACCAGTAGATGCTTTAATGAGTGCTTACAACATGCTAAACATTACAAGAGCAATTGTATTCTCTTTAAAAAGGCAGGGCATTTCCCACTAATAATTTTAATATTTTGAATACAAAATGTACCGATTCATATTTACAGAATACCCAGAGTTCATCAAGACTCCCATTAACGTAACAGTCAAGGTAGGAACGACGGCCAGATTTGACTGCTCAGCGAAGGGAGAACCGAAACCTAAGATTGTCTGGAGGAAAAACGGAGGGACGTTCCTGGCGGCTAACGAGAACAGATTCCACGTGATGACGGCGGACGACGTGTTCTTCATCGCTCAGGTGAAGCCAGAAGACGAGGGGGTGTACAGGTGTACGGCGTCCAACTCAGAGGGACAAATCAGCATCAACGTTACATTGTCTGTTCAACGTAAGTGGATAGATTTCAAGAAAAAATATGCTGAAATACTATAGAGAAGAAGAGATCAATATTGAATGAAATGTAAATGTTAAAGGCACAGTTTCTTAAAATGTTTGATTGCATGGATATTAATTGAAAAAAATTGAAGTTTGCAGAATAGATATCAAATGAAATTGAAATGCTCAATATGCAGTGTCTGGGATATATTAATAAAAAAACTTAGTATGAGATTGATAAAAGTATTCATTGAACTTTGATTTTAAATAATTATTTGCTATATATAAAATATGTGCATTCAGGAATCATAATGTGGTTGCCTTGGTTTTGTTTAAAATGTTTACATATATTTTTATACAGAACCACCATCCTTTACGGAGCCTATGAGGAGGACCAAAATTGTAAATGAGGGACAGACAGCAGTGCTAGAGTGTATGGCTGAGGGTCGTCCTAAACCAGTGCTCACCTGGAAGAAGGACAATCGCACCCTGGATCTGACCAACCGCCACTTCCTCGCAGCACAGAAACAACTGCTCATCATCGTGAAGACTACCACGACGGACAGCGGCAAGTACACCTGTGAGATGCAAAACACACTGGGAAGCCGCAGTGGCAACACCCATCTCCACGTGCAGAGCCTACACCATCCCGTCAAAACTAACAATCAGAGGCCTTCATCGGAAGATAGCTCTATAGACGAGTCCACCACAACGGGAATTATTATCATTGCTGTGGTGTGTTGTGTGGTGGGAACCTCCTTAGTATGGGTCATCATTATTTACCACACAAGGAAAAGGCACGAGCTGTACACGCCGACCTCCACTGATGACTCCCCCATACCAGCAGACTACATGAGTCAGCAGCAGTATGAGGAGGAGGGAGGGGTGTACCCCCACCAGGTGATGATGTACCACCCCGGGACTTACCAGTACCAGGAGTACCAGAGTAAGGAGTCAGGGTACGAATCCTCCTCAGGCAGAATCAGGAACGCCAGAGCGGCGGCCATCTTTCCCAGCGATGTGGAGGACGGGAACCAGCATTCTGGATCCAGGGGACTTGTTGATCATTCTCCAGGTATGGACTGTCTGTTTGAAATTATATATCAATATTCAACAAGAATTGGTACTATTCAAAGTGTAGAAAAGAGAAGTAAAATACACGAAGATATCGAACAGTATTCAAGCTCAAATTAAACTATACAAATCAGTAGCAGAGCAAACACGGACCTCCAAAATATCATAGTAGGAGCAGGTGCCATGGAGGAGTGAGAGATTTTAAGAAATTCTCAGAGAAATGATGTTTTACTAAACCATTGAATCTAATCAAATTTTCTCTTCTATTTCAGATAACAGTGCTTCATATCCAAACAGTGAAACAGACTCACTCAAAAGTTCTCAGAGTACGAGTAGCACTCACACCAGTGGTCAGCAGACCCTGAGGACATTCCACCCCGACATCAGAGAGGTCCCCCAACCTCCCCCTCTCCCCCCCTCAACGAGAACCCCGAACAAGTGCTCAGAGCCCAGTTATTGTGAGAACTGTGAATTGTGTAGGGGTGATCAAAGTGACTCGCATCAATGCCAAAGTTTAAACAGACATTCTCTACTGAATGGCACATTCTCTAATGGATTATCTCATTCGGGAGTGCATCATGGTTCTCTTCCTCAGCCTCCTGGTGGCAGTATTAGAGGTGTGTATAGTCACTGAAAACAATCAGGAATGGATAGCTTTGCGAACATTGTCATTCCCATTCAATAGTTCTCTTTATTTCTTAATTTGAGCAAAAAATTGTCGCTATTTTAATTTAGGATATTAAATGACTTCTGTTTTTCTTTTGCAGAAGTAGGAGTTTCAGAACGAATGTGTGATAGTCCACCACAACAATCCTGTACATGTTCAACTTGTCATAATCATGTATCTCCTGTATATAACTCATCTCTCAGAACAAGCAATGGTACGTATCTCATAGAGCAGAAAGTTCTTTAGTAATTCTAAGTGAATCAGGTAAAAAGTAATCAATAAGTTTGTATGTTGGATAAAGAAATATTCCCTCAGGGAAGTAAATGGAGATTTTTTTTTTTTTGGAAGAGACATTATTTTGTATTGATATTAAAAAAAATCGTAAAAATTGATACAAGATAATGATTTGTTGAAATAAAAAGAAATGTTAAAAATTTTAATTTGTAAATTGAAGAGAAACTGAAAATAAATTGTGATCTTTCTCTTTCAGCATGTTCTTACCACCATAGTCCACAATCAACCTCCCATAATGCCAGTAATGGACCTTGTTATTTAAATACTCATGAAATTCGCATTTGTGCAAATCCCTGTTGTGCGCCCCCTGGTGAGAACAGGGAGCATCGTAGTGACAATCAGGAGGGGAGACCACTCCATCGGTTCCGCTCGGCCGAGAACTGTATGGTGGGTGACTACTACCACCGGGCCGACCCCCGAGGTCATAACAGTCTGAACCGAAACTGGTCCACGGACAAAATCCCCCCCACCATTCCACCAAAACAGCATAAACATATGTACATACATGCCAATAAATGCTCGCTGGCACAGAATGGGGGTCCGCATGGAAAATACCCCCACCCTCAGAATGTCTAGCATAATATACTGATGTATAGTGCAGTGTTATAATTTTGTCTTTTCTCATAAGCAAGCTTCTGAACTTTGCACTGTCAAAATGTTTCAATTGGCAAAAATATGTGTACCATTTGCGATGAAAATATCCCTAAATTATCTTAAAGTTATGAATACTTTGAGTTAAATTTATTTTTGAAATTATCAAAAAAATTTAGATGTACAGTGACAGTGCAAATTTCATGACCTTCTTATATAGTATGTTAATATTTTAGCTGATAATAGTTTGAAACTATTTCAAAACCAGTGAAATTATAACCATTGTTGACTGTGATCGTTAAAGCCAAAGGTTTTATGTTTTGTTCAATTTCGTTGTTTAATACAAGTTCCTTAATCATGCATTTGTTGAACTGACATTTTTTTTTCTACCCCCAAAGAAAAGCATTAGTATGTTATCAAAAGGCAAAAATATTTTTGAGCATTTATAAACCAAAAGCATTATAGATGATTTATCATTGTAGTATAAAGTAACAGTTTCAACTCTGTTTAGTGCATACCATAAAAAATGGTACACTGTATAAATTATGATTGCCACACATTTAAATTTGATTGCTTTGAATTTTCGGAAAGATTTTTTCATTCCATGAAAAAAACTTGAAGTATTTCTTTCTCTGTATTCAAAGATGTACATACTTATGTATTAAAATGAAATACCTCATACCACAAATATTTGGTTCATACATGTTTCTGTTTGAAAGTTGGACGAGTGATTCTTGTTATGCAAGTTCCATTATGAGGCGAATTTTTATCACATTTTTCATTTCAGAATTGTGAAGTGTCCCAAATATTGATAATCATTTTTCAAATTTTTAAAGCATTTTTGAAATTTCCCCATAAGTAATAATTTTGAGTTATTTAATTAATAAAGATAATTAATTAAGAAGAAGTTGGTTGGTGTTTTGATTTGCAGTCAGTTCCGTTCTACCAGCAGCATACAAGGTGCTTTAAATGATATATCAGTATTTTATATTTACCATTTGTTTGTAGACAGCATTGTGTTTCACTGCTTTTGAGTTTTTGTATGAAACATTGTCAGATGAACATAAGGTATATATTATTTTAAAAATGCATTATTATCTATGTGACTATATAATGAAATCCATACCCAGTAACCTCCCTTTGTTACGAGACGTCTTTTTTTCCTTTTTTCTTTCACCCATTTTCACTTACATGTCGTGTTATCATTTTATTTTCTCTCATGGAAAATTTATTCCATTTAATTATCCATCCTAAAACATATTAAAAGTTTTAATTTACTTATTTTGGTTTCCAAAAAAGTCCTCAATTTTTGTTTTCAAATGAAATTACTTTGGCTTTGTTTAAAGAATTTTATGTGCATTCTGATTGATTTAAAATAGAAATATTCCATCAGTTGTAATAAAATCACAGAAAAATGAAATTATATTAGTAAAAATTATTTTTATTACATTTCTCAAGGTGCCATTTGTTACAAGAGTTTAATCATCCTTTGTACACTGTTTTCATAGTGTTTGTCTATACTTCATGTGTAGCTTCAACTCTTATTTATTTATGGTTGTGTACATTGTGACAACATTGAAGCCGTTTCTGTTATTATATTTGTACAGAAAAATGACGAAAACAGCAAATTAAAATATTTAAAATAATATATGTTGTGTTGTGTTTTTTAACTACAAAGAAAGGTGAACGTCTCCATATTATGAATGAAAAATTCTCGAGGGGGCGTTAAACAACATACAATCAATCAATCAAAGAAAGGTGGCATGGTCACCCTTGTCAAATTGGATAGTAAAAAAAATCCATAAACTGCACATTAAAGAGCTGATTCAGTGATATCTTTCTGCAGCAAGCATGCACTGCCCTTGGATTTATAATAAAATTAATTGAAATATGCAGACTAATTAGTAATTGTTTCAAATATTCTTACATTTTAATAGACCTATGAAGATACATACTCAGCATGTATTTATACTTTTAGCCAGGTGAAAATTATGAGGAAAGGCAAAATGGTAAAAATCAGCCTATGTGATTTTTCTGTTTTTTTTTCTTACCATTTTGCGTTTCCTCATAAAATTCACCTGGCCTGGTATATCTATTTTTTTTTTAAAAAGGTATATTATACTTTAAGGTATTCAATGTATAATGAACTTCAAGTGATTTTGAACGATTTCAAATATTTTTAAACTAGTTAAAAACACATTGCTAGATAACGATAAAAGTGAAATGAACCAAATTCACAAGACTGATTATATGTAAGCAGACAGTCACTTTGCACGTTTATAGTTTTTGAAGAGTTATCTGCTCTTGATGAAAAGAAGAAAAAATTTTATTTCTCAAAATTTCTGTGGTAAATAATTTGTTTTATTTCATGGTTTAAAAAAGAGGGCGTTTATGCATATTTTCACCAAGATAGTAGTTTGAAATTCAAATTACTTTTTACTTTATCTGATAAAAACATGTGCTCCCCATTGACATCAATGTAAAATTCAAGGTGCAATTAACTGGACAAAAATTTAAATTTTGTAAATTCTTTTGGTGGAGCATTTTCATTTGAAAACATCTTCAAAATGCTACCATGATTAAAAATATCGGATCATTCATTTATTAGGTAATAATAAATATATACAAAATTTGGTCGTTATACATCGAATACCTTAAGCACCAAGCTATCATATCCCGAAATTTGTTTTCATCTGTAAACCTTTTACTGGTATTTGTAATTTTATTGAATAAGACATCGGTGCATTTCAATATTATAGAAAGAATGTGTGTCTCTCTTTGAAGCCCAAAATAAACTGTATATGTCCGATCAAAAAGTAAATTAGGAGGTCATAATGGCACTACGTAACAAAGATTCTGTAAAAGTCTCATTAACTTTCATTCAGAGGATAAAAGAGTTCCGGATAAGGGATGGGTCCCCCAAAGCGTAACAGACGGGCGGAAGTACGGGGAAACAGACGGACATCGCAGGGGTGTCAGAATCAGTCATTACTTTAAGAAAGACAACTCTTCTTTCCTAAGATCTCGAACTACATGTTAACCAATTACTCATCCAATACTGTTCTCCACCTGTAAACCCTCAGACAGGGGTCTATAAAAATCTAGCAGTGTAATTGATAAATTACAAATGAAATGTATGTAAATGAATAGATTTAAATTTGTGGTTCACTTTTCCCTCCAAAAAAGTGAAAGAGAGCTACCTGGGATGTTAACATAGCTTTATTTCTCCGACATCTCAAAATATTATTATATCCATATTGTTTCTAAAATATCCTGTCACTAATTCTGTAACAAAGGAATTTCCAAATTTCTTGTCCAAGGATTTTGTATAAGACACGTTTCAAACGCTTCGGACGGCATTAATTAATAGTATCAGCCCTGTCAAGTCTTAATATCATGCAGGTCAGTGCATTTTTTAAAAATAAATCTGCCATTTCTTTATGGAATGTTTTACCTATTAGCTGTTCTTGAACAACAAAAATATTATCCGTATATAATTCTTAATATGAAATAATGATATTGGACATTTCGAGAATGGTCATTTTAAACCTATTTTCAACTTTTATATGATAAACAATTAATATAATAAAAAAAAAAATTAATAAAATTAATGTAACATGATAAACAATCAATCTAATAATATTATATTATTATTGCAATCTAATAACTTAATTTTCAAAAAAACTGGAATCAAATATATAATTAAAAAACTGGCAATTTCAGGAAAAATTCAATAAACATTTTAAAAATCGGAAATGTATTTTTCCTTATTTATTATGTCGAAATATATCACATTCCACTGCATAAATTGTTTTCATCTCCCATCCCATTCTATATCCAAAAGCATGCTTTGAGAATGAAAAATTTTAAAACACTGGCAGACTACTGTCAGATAAGTTGATGATAAACGGATTTCTACAATCTCGTTTTAAGTTGGTTTTTGTAAATTCAATGATCGTTATAAAAATATGTTAGTGAATCTAATTTACCACTGGGTCGTATTTTTGTCGGCTTGTTTCATCCCATTTGTTAGGCTGCTGTTTCCAGACTAAATGTGACTACTGATGGCGTGTTCCCGTCTACCTGATCAATACATCGGGCTGAAGGGGATGCTTACTTCTCTTGGGCACCTGATTAATTCCACCTCTGGAGGTCTTTGTTTGTAATTGCCCTGTTCACAGAGATGTTTTTGCTTGTAGTTTTTATGAGACAAATCGTTGTTCGTAATCTTCATGATTATCGCTATTTTCCGCACAAAAACAAGTATTTAAAAGTATACTTATAAAATATCAATTCATTTGTAGATAAACTTTATTTTTTTTTTTTTGTGAGGTTTGATCATTTCCAACATTTAACAATGATAAGAAGCAAGAGGGTCTAGATTGCTGGTGAACATTGCAATGTTCACGGCAAATTCTCAACGAAATACAATACATACATTCATAATACAAAAGGGCATACCAGAAAAACAAAATTATTCTTTATTTATCAAAATTAAAAGTTGTTTGCAAGATCATTTTTTCAAAAATATTAACATTCAGACCATTTTCAAAATGAAAGTAAACACGCAAGTTGTAAAATGGTTTAATATAAATATTGAAGAATTCAGATCGCATCCTTTCCAGTGACTGCATGTCATGAAATACTAAACAGTCTTTTTTCTGCTAGGACTAAAAGTGTTTTTTTTTTAATAATGAAATTTAACACCAGACACATGTTGAAAAATTGGTATATAATGAATATATTAAAAATGTTTCAAATAATTTAATGTTAATATTCACAACAATAAAATAAAAAGCAACTCATAAATATTAAATAACAAATAAAATATCCATTAATCAAAATATGAATATTTGCATAAATAGATTTTTTTTAATGTAGAACAAGCAAATACTACCTGAGGTGTAATGACTTAGAAAGTGAATTATCATAAGAAGTTCACCAATAACAAGGCTTTGAAAAAAAGGATGATTTGAAATGACTACATTTATCTCAGTGCAAAATATTTATATCATTTTTCGGCTCATTATAAACTGTTATCACTTGTAAATGAAAATGAAAAAGAAGTGCAGAAACGTGCAGAAGCACGACTGAAAATTTTCAAAAAGTACGAATAATTATGAGTATTCTTTGACAATAGACTACTCTTTAAAACCTTCAAACTATATGAGTGTGCAACTGTCTATAGCCATCGTCTCAAACCACGGTCCGGAGTCCGCATATAGCTCTCTCCTACCCGTGGCTGCTTGATCACAAAAGTGTCATAATCTTCAATATTTATGCCTCTCTATTGTGACGTCATATTCAGTCATTGACAAGTTTTGTTTCCATCAAAACAATTTACATCAGCAGTATGCAAGAAATATTTCGTACACTGCGATTGGGTATTGAAAGGTCACATGAAATTCATTATCCGACTATGCTTTACTCGCATTGGTCAATATTTCAATGAACTACGAGATATTCTCTTCTCATTCAACCACGGCCAGAATGGGGGAGGATCGCACATTTTGGCCGTGGTTTGCGACGATGGTCTATAGCTAATCTGTGGAAATCTGATTCAAATCACTTTTATTGACCCTTTCCCCGCAAATTCCACATGTAGCAAAGGATTCATTTTGCGTGATTTCCACAGAGCCGCTACATCTTCCACAACCAAACTTGTTAAGTAACTTGACATTAAATGCCTCATATCCATTTTCTACCGTAAAACCGATTACAAATTCGACTCTACGACCCCCATTATGAGATCCGACAAGATTGCATACGTTAGGGATAAAGAAAACAGTTGCTTGGACTATGCTCTCACCTAAGTCAAGAGATATAAATCCAGCACCCTTCTTGGTATTTGGCTGACAGATTGTTCCTTTGCAAACAGCTAAATCTGACGTTGTTGTCCCTTTTACTACATCTCTGTCACTCATATTTAGGCTCAGAAATCTTGTTCCAGGAACAAGTCGTCGTATTCCACTTTCATCCTTTCCAAGCCATTCTCGTGGAAACTTTGGTTTCAGCAGAAACTTTCCAGCCTTTTTCATGTCGTCTTTTAAGATGCGTTGAGCCTCCAGTAAGCAATCTGTTTTTCCGCTTAGCTTTTTTGATCCAAATCCAATCAGACTTGTGATTATGAAATTGTAAAACTTCGACATAGGTGTTTTCATTTGGTCCTCCCACTGTTTTACAACGAGCAATACATTTTCTAAGTCATACTGTTTGCTACACTTTTGATGTCGTATCGCAAAAAGCCATTCTTGATAATCTCGATCTAGGGCACGTTTATTCTCTATGGGACCTTCCATTGGAATTTTTCGGAAAATTTCTTCGTACCATGTCACTATCTGGTCTATGTCATTGCTGGATTGGATATGTTCCAAAACTGTGAAGTCTTTGTTCTTATTGACGCACTTCAACTTCTTCATTGCAATTCGTAGTCGAAACGTCGTTGGATCTTGAGATTGTGTCAAGGTCTCAAAATTTAAGCTATTTTGGTGAAAAAGAAAATTATACCAGAACACTGAACTCTGAATTGAGGAGTCCATGTCATTTTGATCAATGACATTGTAGCATTCCATCAGAAGGGTATCAATTATTGATATGCTTTGCTTGACAAAGTCTATTCCTTGCCAATCATCTGAATATTTCATCC